GTAGATCCTCCTTACTCTCTCTATATTTGTCCATCAACATATGTAAATAGCTTCCATAATAGACTAACTCAGCATGAATCTAAACAAATTAAATGAAATAAAAAACCTTACAATCAACGGGTACACAACGGGAGGCGGACCGTGAATACTAGCAGTCAGAACTGGAGCTCTCACCGACGAGGAGTTCTATGATCGTCGGCGACGTGCGGTGATTGTCGGCGACATCCGATGACTGTCGACGACCTCGATCTATGGCGAGCGACGGAGGGCGACGAGCAAAACAGTGGCGATGTGAGAGAAAGCCACGAAAGAAATGAGCGGCCGGAAAGCTTTCTGGTGCCGTATGCACCGGTAATTATAAGTCGTTGTGTTTAAAAACCCTGGCGCATTATCCGCCAGTACATGCGCCGGGACCACTAAAATGATGGTTTTCTCCGACGTACTTACCGGCGCATGTGACGTCAGAAACTTTCCGCCTTCCAATGCGCCGTAAAAGACATCGTAAAATTGTCGTCGCAGCATGCGCCGTTTCAGGCGCCATTTTTTACTGGCGCAAAACGATCTGCCGAAAATTTCGACAGTAATCGCGTGTTTTCCTATAGTGTGATATTCCTATAGTGTGATATTTATTCTTGATAGTAACTTTGTTAAACTCCATGCAATTAATGCACATACAAATTATACCACCCTTTTTCTTCAAAAATAGTACATGTGCTCCCCATTGAGACATACTAGGCTAAAAAAATTTCCTGTCCAATCATCTTGTACACTCCAGGAAAATGGCTTATTACTGGCGAACAAAATCCACCAGTAACAAGGGAAATTCGCCAAAAATTTTACTTTTTAGGTGAATTTTTTACGAATATTCATACGACAATATAAACGAGTCGAGGTTTGGCATTATCGTGCTAAGCTCGTTAAACACAAATTGAGCTCAAGCTCGAGCTCGTTTAATGAGCTCGAGATCGACTCGTCTGAAAAAATGGAAAATCAAGCTTGACTCAATTAATTGACTCGTTTAAAAGTTCAAACTCGACTCATTTAAAAAGCTTGATTTTTCTTATTATAAATTTAAAAATTGAATTTTATTTGTAAATTTCAATTGTAATTTAAGAAAAAAGCTGGTTGTAACTAAAGTATAGATTTAAAGAAAAATAAATAAATATTTAAATCAAAGTTAAAATAAAAGTTAATAAATAAAAAGCAAAATTAAGTATTATTTCTTATACTTTTTTTTTTCATTAAATTGTGAACTTGTTACAAAATAATTTTGAAGTAAAACTTAAATATAAAAAATAATCATTAAATTAAGAAACCATCTCAAAGCAAAACCAAACAAAAGCTATACTATTCAAGTACATGAATACATTTACATTTTATAAATGCGCTTAAAAATATTGCAACTTTTTTTACAATTAACCCCAACTCAGAACTCAACAAAATAAATTACATCCCTCGAATCAGCATGATTCATAAAGCAACATGGGCAAAATTCTTTCTAGGGCTTGAAGTAACCATCCACTTGATGGTTGCCATCCAACTATGATTTCCAAATCGACCAACACACGAAGAGAATTGAGGATATAATTAATTCAACATCAATTAATCCTATGTTGGGGTTTCAAAAACTATTGATAATGCTTGCCACCAAAATCAAAGAACATATAAGCACTAAATTGAAATAGCAAAACAATACTAAACTAACTGAACAAACAGTCGATGACTTCAATAAACAACCACTAACATTGAAGGGAATGGAACATACATCCACTAACTTCAACATATATACATTCACAGACTTCAATGCTATAACCACTAACTTCAACAAACATTCACTTGCTTCAACATACAGCCATTGACTTCAACATATATTAAAAATACGCATACCATGACCCAAGGCAAGAAAAAATCAATCTAACATATATAATTTAGACAGACACCCCTTATTGCCAAACGACCATCCAAGGGGGAGAAAGTCTGATTATTAAGGGAACATCATCATCGTCTATGAAAAATTATAGAATCCCACCAAACTTGAAATTTAGAAAACTCAATGGCAATATGAACTAAAATCGAAACTTAAAAGACATCAATAACAAAGGCAACAAATCATGTATTCAAGGTACTAGATGTATGTTCAAGTTAGTGGAAACAAAACACCATAGCTTAAAAAATAAAAAAATTAATAACAAATTGAACCAGGATCAAATAGAGAGGGGACTCAAGGGAGAACTAACAATAACTACCATAGAACCTCACTCCCCTGATTTCCAATCGATAATCTAAGAAGAGAAGTTATGCTTATTAATGAAATAATATCATCGTCAAATGTATAAAATAGCAACCTAGCAGACCACAAAAAGTATAAAATCAAACAACAACTGGAAGAAATGAAATCTAGCAGTAGCAAGGCACCAAATGACCAAAATGAGATAATATAGGAGAATCATAGAATAAAACTAGGTAAAGCAATAGAGAGTTCATTTTTTTCGAATCCAATCGAAGAAAATAACACTTGATAAGAGCTTATTAAGCTTTAGGGAAATTAAAAGTTAGAACAATGGAGATCTATATCTTTTCTTACCCAAGAAATTAATTACTCGTCATTGCTCTAGGGCACGGATGGAGAATCTCACTCACGTCGCAACCTCGTAGGGCACAACCATCATAAATCACAAGCTCTCAAGACTCAAGAATCACTGAATAGAGATAGGGCATAAAGGCGAGACACTATTTCTAAGGCTTAGAAGCAGACAATGGAAAGATTGCGGGTCATTGGATTAGCGTATTTAATCAATCTAGTCGCTCGATGAGTCTTCGAGACGAGTCATACTTAGCTAGAAATTGAACACATATATTATACGAGCTCGATTAAAAGCTTAAGATCAAAACTCGATAAACTCAACTCACGAGCTCATTATAAAGTCAAGTTTGAGCTGACTCGTGAGTTAGCTTGACTCGCTTACACTCCTAATAAAAACTAAAATTCATATCCCATAATAGTTCTTATCAGATTTCTTTAGTCCCAAACATAATCTCAAAGAATTTTGATCCTTTATTACTCCCAATAGAATTTTTTCCTTCTAGGTAGAATCTCAAAGACTTCTAGCTTCATATAACCCCCAACATACATATTTTTTTTATTTTTATAATTCATATTTATGATCACATATAGAATTTTAAATGATTATGGTCCCATATATCTCCCAATATATATTTTTCATATCAAAATTATTTACTATCACCTGTTTCAATCATATAAACATAAAATTCATCATATTACAATAACTAAAATATAATTAATCATATTTTATAGTTGTATAATTTTCTATAATGGTAGTAAACCCTATTAAGTAAAAATATATATTTTTAATAAATAATTAAATTATTAGAGATTGTGTAAAATATTATTTAAAGTCTTTAATTGTACTACAACATCATTTTTTAGCATACAAAATTTTTTTCTACTTGATAAAAATTTCATAATTTTCAAAATCATAGTTGTAAAATTTTCAAAAAAATTTAAAAAATATTCATAATATTAATCTCTACAACATATAAAAAGTTATAAGATAAAAATTTTGAAACTGCAAAGTTATCCCCTTTTTATAACAAAAATAAAATTTTAATTAAAAAAATTTGATAACAAAGAGGAGAGAGTGAAGTTTTTGAAAATATTATTTAAAAAAACAAAAATAAAAAAAAAGAAGAAAGGAAAAAATATAAATAAAAAATAAAAAAATATATGATACCTAAGAGGAATCAAATGATGCCTCTTTGGAAATGCCTTGCTTGATATGTACACATCAACTGGTGCGGGCAGGCACAAGCATCCACTGTTTCCGCTGGAGGTGGTCACACAATTTAGCCATTCTAGTCTAGTCCAAGCCTAACTTTGGGCTTGAAAAACTTTATCCTAATAAAATTTTTGTCCTTAGGACCATTTTATATACTTCAAACTTAATTTTGTGGAGCCCATCATAACATCTATGATAAAATTCGAGCAAACTTAAAAAATTAAAAAGAAAATTTCCTATTAATGTTTGCTCAAATTAATGCACGAACTTTGTGAAAAGTTGAACTTATAATTAAGGAGATTTTAATTGGTCGATGACCCTAAGAGAAGATCCCACATTGACGTTCTAGGAGTAAACATGCCTCCTAATTTTCTCGAAATTATAATTCTTTGCCACAAAGATTTTTGAAAGCTTAATATATATTTTAAGACTAACATTTTTTTATGTCTGAAAATAATGGGGAAAATGATGTTTTCAGAAAATTCACTTTGTATTTATGTTTATTTCTTTTATTTTTTATTTTTTAAAGTAACATATATATTTCAAAAATACATATATTTTAAAAACATCCTATTAATAATATTGCTACATACTTAACTAATAACTATTAAATAGCAAATTAGTATATTCATAAACATCAATAAAAAAAACAAATAAACCTAAAAAACTACTTTTTTAGATCTAATTATTTAAATTTTATTAATTATATAGAGTGACATTAAGTGGATGGGCCTTATCGCTCTAATTTAGTTGGATTAAAGTCGGGATCGATCTACCTGATCCGGACCTGCACGATAACAAAGCACGCTTAATATCAACATCTGACCTTACTTAACTAATAACTATTAAATAGCAAATTAGTATATTCATAAACATCAATAAAAAAAAACAAATAAACCTAAAAAATTACTTTTTTAGATCTAATTATTTAAATTTTATTAATTATATAGAGTGACATTAAGTGGATGGGCCTTATCGCTCTAATTTAGTTGGATTAAAGTCGGGATCGATCTACCTGATCCGGACCTGCACGATAACAAAGCACGCTTAATATCAACATCTGACGGATGGTATTTAGCCACGTGTATGACTGACAGTGATGCTATTTGTTTAATTTCTCATCATACGTCGCTTTCGGCAATAAATGAGGTGGGCGAGTGCGGAAGAAACAGGCGGAGAGCGGGAAATAGAAAGCTAAAAAGCAAGCGGCTGCTTCTCTCTCTTTCTCTCTCTAAAATTGTTTTCTTCCTCCCTATTTATCATTTTATTATATGATAGACTTCCCATCCACTCTCCTCTCCCACTCCTCTTTTCAGCTCAGAGAATAACGAGATTTTTATCTCTCTCTATCTCTTTCTTCCCTTCTTGATCAGCAGTTTTCCCTTCTTTTTTGCCTTTTTTAGCTTCCGATTCTGCTTCAGATCCAAGCCGGCGAAGCCATGGCGGTTGTGACGGAGAGCTTCTCCATTCGGTACCCCTTTCTTTCACTCTCTCGCTATCTCTCCCTCTCTATCGTCCTTTTTTCTTCTTTAGATCTGATCCATACCATTGAACTTCATAGAGAGTACACGGAGAGGATGAGAAGCATCGACTTACGCAGATGCTGGCCGTTCGAGGGGGAAAGCGAGGGTAGATGTCTGCTGCCGTCTATCTCGGTGCGGAGGTTCAAGTGGTGGGCCGACGAGCTGTCCTCCGCTAGATCTATGGTAATAGTTGAGGAGGAGGACGATCGGAGCAAAGATACGGTGGTGGTAGCGACTTTGGGAGCAGATGACATACTGCCGCCGACGCGGATGGATATGGGGCCATCTGCCGTTCCTATAGCGGGTGAGGAGGTAAGGCGGACCTCGAAGGGAAAGCAAAGGACGCCGAAGAAGCGATCCATCGTTGAGCTCTTCGCCGCCGCACCGTTGATCGCTGGCAGAGTTGATGTTGACGAGGCTAATAGTGATGAAGATGAGCGTTGGGAAGAGGAAGATGCCTTTGATGAGGATACGGAGCAGCAGATTGATGTGGTGATCAGAAAGAAAAAGGCGATGAAAGATAATGTTATAAAGAAGAAAAAGAGAAGGAAGAAGAAGAAGAATAAGGGGATTAAAGATGGGCTTAAGTTGGAGATCTGTGCTTTGGAAAAGGTAAGTTTTCTTCTTTTTTTTTTTCGCTATCTGCTTTTTCTGCGTAGAGAATATTTTTTTCCCACTTTCGTTTTCCTTTTTTTTATAGTCAAATTTTAATTTAATTTGGCGTCCATATTCTCAAACCGGACGGCATACAGTACGGCACAAAGAGGTGTCGCAGGAAGATGTTAACGCCTTTACCGTTTGCTCATCTTCTTTTGTCTTCTTCTCCGAAATTTCCTTAAATATTTGCTTTCAGCGATAAGAATTGGGTCTTTGTTTCATCAATTTCTGTAATTAGGATCGAACGGGCTTCGGATAGTCATTATTTTATGTGATTATTTGCGAAATAATCGGGCAGGAACATTGTTAGTGCTTTTGTTTTGTGCTTGGGAACTTTATTTTTTCCTAGTATTCGTCAATGGCTTTTAATTATTTCCGTAAATAAGGGGGTTGCGTTAGGCTTTGGATATTAGTATAGATAAGATTCTAAACGAAACCATTTGTTTTAGGATCTTAGTATGCAGAATATAATTGTTGTTTGACCCCTTTAATATCTTTTTATATTTGGAATTCTGCTTCTTTGTATGCGATATTTATGATAAAATTAACTGTTGGCGATTCTTTTGGTAATGATATGTATGCAGCACGAGTTGACCCTGATTGTGTTTGTTGACTGTCGTCTGACTAGCAATAGTTGGGAGTTATTGTTATGATGGACCATTGTAATTGTTTGTTCCTCCTTACATGTGCTAATTATGCTTGTCGTGAATATATTTATGGAAATGTTTTGATAGGCTGTTCCTGTTTGTTTAAGCTGTAAATTTATCTCACCTAATTCGTGCGTCAGCAAGCAAATTTGTTTGAGAAGCAATTAAGCTTCATTGCTAAGTGCTATGTTTTGCTTTTAAAGTTGGCTATGATTAAACATCATTAATACGAGTCTATGCACTTTGATCTTGTATAAACTTTCTGTTGGGAGGAGATGTAAAGTTTTATCTAATCGAGTCTTGAAGTTATGTAGTACGTACAATGAAATTAACGTGTACTGCTCCAAAGATAAGCTGTACATACACGGTGTAGACTAGTATGAGGAGTTTTTTCAAAAAGACTTGGAAGGAATTTCGGACTCGAGTTTTCGAACGACCAATTAGTTTATTTGAAGTGTGATTTTAGTTGTCATGAATAGGGCTGAAATTAACGAATCCTTACTAATGGGGCACAAAACAAAATTTTGCGCCGTCTTTTTGTAGTTTTTCTGCATAATTTGAAAGCGATCAACTATTTGGAGGATTACTTTGGAATGTGAGAAGAGGAAAGTAAGATTGAAAAGGAATTACAAGAAGCTTTCGAAGGAAGACCTTCAACACATCATGGAAATTTCATTGTTATTTTCATAATTCTTGAAATTCTTAATGCAATTACATTAATTCTTACTTCGATCTTGCTTGAAGTTTTCAAAATAAGCACATACAAAGTCCAGCTTCTAACATTAGATGTATTTTGAAGAATCATTTATGAATTCCTAAAACTTAATTACTTGTCAATGGTATTTTTTTTAAGAGATTAATTTTGTTTGTTGTATATGCCTCCAATCCTTCATTTGATTGTTTGTCAAGGTCAAATCATAAACTTAGTTTTATTAAACTTATGGTGACCAAAAGCATACAACTATTTCCAGTTTCGTATTGATGATATATCTAAGGTTTAGTTGATTGTAATAATCGAACTGATGAACATCTGTGTTCATTTACTTGCACTATAGGAAAATCGTATATTACCGGCGAAATTAATTTCTAGTGGACTATTTTATAAATGATTCTTAAATTAATTAAATTTAGTCTGGAATGGGAGCGTGTCAGCGCGGGCTTGCGGGCAGCCTGAGTTCGACAAGGGTTGGCAAGTTGCTTTAATTTTTTTTTTTTTAATTATTCCGGCGGCTTTTTCGCCAGCAAGCCGCCAGACAAATGTCCGGTTGAAATAATCCGTCGGAAAATTTTTCCAGCAGTTTTTTACCATCAAAAAATTTTTCCAACGTGCATGTTTTACCGTCAAAAAATTTTTCCAACGTGTGTTTTACCGTCAAAAAATTTTTCGTCGGAAATCTGCTTGAATTTTTCAAAATTCGATGGTAATTCATAATTAATTTCCTGTAGTGTTGGAGTCGTGTAAGGACGAAAAAGGCAAAGGGGTTCATTTTGTTGTCTCACTACATGAAAATGGCTTGTTGCCGGCGGACAAAATCCATTGGCAGGAAATCTTTCGTTTCCAGCAAATTTCCAGCAGATATTCATACGACGGTAATTCGTGTGTCAGAAAGTCTTTTCCTACAAAATATTTCAACCGTATTTTCCAGCTCAATTCCAACGAAAAAAATGAAGTATGCCATTTCCTTCTAATGATTTCTGCATTATATCCGCCAGAATGTCCGTCAGTAATTTAAGATTTTCCTGATGTGTCTGGAGTCTTGGAGAAAGACAAACGAAGAGTTGCAAAGGAGGAGAAGGTTCAACCTTGAGGTGAAAGGTTGGTTGTCGCCTAGTGATGAGAAAGGTGAAGAAATATTCGTCATTTGGAGTTTCGAAGGAGATTGTCGTAGCTTGGCTTGCGAGAAGATGAGGGGTTTTTTCCATTGGTTGGAGTCAGGGGAGATGAAGAGTTTCATATATATTGGGTTTTTTCCATCAGTAGGAGTCAGGGAGATGAAAGAGTTTCGTCTCTATTAAAAGAGAGCGAGGGAAAGAATACCTAGATGCGAGCCATCATGCAAGGGTGAGAGTGAGTCAACAATTTGTGCGATTGAGAATTGTTGTGCACAAGAGCTACGAAATCACTTAAGGATGAGCATTGTAGAGAGAGAGAGAGAGAGAGAGAGAGAGAGAGTTTTAGTTGAGATTTAAAATGTTATCATATTATCAAGATAAGTTTGATCATTGTGTTCAATTAAAAATATTTTAATTATGACATCTACATTATTAATATACACAATCTTAGATTTTATGTGAATTTGAAATTTAAATACTTTAGTCATAGGAAGATGTTTTATACATTAGATTAATGGATTTTTTAAATTAAGTAGTATTATGCATTTTAACAAAAGAAAAGATGAATTAGATTAGTAGGATTATATTAATGAATAATTATATCAAAATTAAGGTAAACATTGTATTCGATTATGTATGTCATATTATTGAAGTCAAAGGACAGGGTAAGGGAAATTATTGAATCATCTAGATTTTAGGCAAGTACTCGTGTGTTTAAATTATAGTAATGATTTTATTTTCTTATAAGAAAATAGACTTATACTTATTTAGTTATTATTGCAACATAAAGTATAATTTTTATCTTTCTCAGATTCAAGGATTGATTATCTTGGAATTAGACAATAATTAGCATGTTGTGTTTCACATTATTATATATATAATTAATTGAATGAATGTTATATATATGAATGAAATTATTAGATAGGATCGAATGCTTGTTTGTGCATGTTGATTTATGGAGTATACCATCATATGATATTGGTTGGGACCCTAGGGGTGTAATATACCCACATGTGAAATGAAAAATGTTATAAAAATTAAATGAAAATGAAAGTACCTTAATTAGTACTATTAAGACAATGTCTCCTATAACAGTTATATTAGTTACATAAAAAATGCTAAACAGAATAAGAGTGTTATATATATGCATAAGATGTGATTAATGATCATTCTCAATTTTAAATATTATAATTTATTTTATATTTTATAATAATCATCTATATATTATTCAAAATACCTTGTATTAATATAATTTTGAAGCATGACATGCTCCCTAAGTTGTATTATAACTCACTCCTATAATTGCAAACATTCACAAATATTATCCAAAGAATTTAAATGAGTAAAAGAGGGGTATATATTGTAGGCGCGACGCTTCGAGAGAATGGTATTTGTTGAATTAGTTATAGTATGTTTATGCATTTCCACTTCATGAAAGTTATCTTTTTGCGATGGATAAATCCATCGCAAAATAAGAAAAATATGTTACAAAATATGATTTGCGGTAGAATATAATCCAACACAAAAATTGGGATCATAAAATTATTTGCAGCGGGAAAAATCTGTCGCAAATATTTCCAGCTGATTTGCGATGGATTTGGCGTGAAATTTCAGCAAAAAAAATCACAAATTCTTCCCAGCTTGTCGGGCTGCTTGCTGTCTGCTCTTGATCGAGCTGCCATGCCTAACCGGACTGTTCGCTGTCCGAGATTTGAACTCTACTCCACTCGTTAAAGCCATCGACGACCTTCTCCACTCGGCAAAGGAGACAAAAGCGTTTAAAAAGCTTTTTCTTAAATTATATTATAACTCAGCTTGCAGCGGATTTGTGGCGGCAATTTTCATCGCAAGTTTGTGGTAGAATTTCTGTCACATGCAAATCCGCCGCAAAAAATATAAAGATTTATACGAAAAAATTCGCCGACATTTGTGACGGACATTATTCTGCCGCAAAAAGCTGACTTCCTGTAGTGTTTGAGTTTGTAGCGGCTCTTTCATTATTTTAATTAATAGTAATTGTTAAAAATTTTAGTGAATGAAATTTAAATAAATATTCAACTATTTATTCCCACCTCGTAATTGGATCATCTGGGCCAGGTCATGACATTGATGTTCATAGTAGATTATACAATTGAAATATACAATTAAAACTCATGCAGAGAGGGGTCTACGCGTTGATTATGAAAATTGATTAATTACAAGTCCTTAAATGATCAAATGCTCGTTACAACCAAAGAAGTACAACCAATTTTAAAAGAAACCCTAATGAGCCAATGATCCTATCTAATTACATATTCAAAGTGAATAAGAGCAGGGAGGAAAGAAGACAACAGTCAAAAAGCACCCAAGTTAGATGAATATGCATCTAATTTAATTAAGTAAATGTGTGAATATGAAATTAAGTAAATTATTTTGAATAAAGAGTCATAATTGCCATATTTATGGAGTGTTTCTTGCTAACTATTTTTTTACATT